AAAAAAAAAAAAAAAAAAAAAAACACGCTAACATAACATAACATAACATCACACACACACAGAGCACATCGTGGAATGTTGATGGGAGGTGAGTAATACAAAGTCGACCACATACACTTCATGATCACATACGATGCTATCAATTTTTCCAAAGAATGAACGTGCGCTAATTCACCTGATTACGCGGGAAGATATCAGCAATCAACTTCTTGTAACGTTTCACCGGTTGCCTTGATCTTGCTCGCAGAGAAGGACAAAACACACAGAGGTTACCACAGACGGGCACAACCCGCCTGGACATAACCCCCATTTTCCTATGAATTCACAAACCCTCCCCCTGAAAAATTCTCAACAACAACAAAATTCACTCCCAAAATTGCCTCAACCCTTCACATTCCACTAATCAGAACTCGAATTTCACACGAACTCACAATCAACAATCACAAACCGAATCAAATTCAACTCGATTAATAGCCCACACAGGGTTTAACGAATTTTTTTTATTTATCTCGCTACATAATAATAATAATAATAATAATAATAATAATAATAATAATAATAATAATAATAATATAATTATTATTATTATTTATAAAGAAAGATATAAACAAAGGTTGCTAGGCTGTGAGCCCTTTTCCTGAGCAGCACCCTTCTTGGTTCGAGGATTTTGAGAGTTTCACGAAAACTGTCTTCGCGTATCTCCTGATTCTCTTCAAGCTTCGTATACCTTCTTTAGAAACTTCTCTCGATCATCTAGGATTTTTGAGCACCCTTGTGTTTCGAGTGTCTCCGAATTCATTTTCTGGTACTAACAATTATTAAGCGGGGCGGGGATGGGGGAGGGTATAGGGGCGGGGGTAGGGCGGGTATTAACATCCCCATCCCCGCCCCCACTCCCAATTTTATCAACCGGGGAAACCTGAACCCGAACCCGAACCCGATAAACACAAATTTTCTCCATCTAAATCAGGGCGAGTACCCACAGGGGCGGGTTAGATTGCCATGCCTACGGGCGGGTATGTATATACTTGTACCCATACCCGGTTTAACATATCAGGCTTTACCCGTATCCGTACTCTTATCTAGTCAAACTGAGTATTTC